AGAATTAATATGGTGTAGTTTTTTTGGTGTAAAACTAATATGGTGTGGAATTAATATGTGTTATTTAATTAATCAAGAATCACGTTAAAACTACTTTGTTTATAGATGAGAAATTTTTATCACAAGAAGCCTCTTACACAGCCCATCTAAGTTATAGAAAGATTTAATCTCCATAAACATGCAAAAAATTGTTCAACATTTAATTGGGGAAAAATTTTGGTGAGAATTTTGGAGAAAAAATTGCATCATATTATTTCGGGTGAAATTTTATGAAAAACTTTGTACTGCTTACGTTTTGTCTAATCTTAACGCAATTTGAGAAAAACAATTTTTGTCTGTATTGTTCAAATGATTTAAATCAGCACTATAGTTTAAAGGGCGCTGCAATAGTTTAAGCGTTTAGATTGGCATAGATAAATCAGGCACATAACAGTGCCATTGTAGTCTAACGCTGGTTAGCATAGATTTCGAGGAAATTTTGTTTTGTTTACATTTTGTCTAATCTTAACCGTTCTTGACAAAAGCGCGTTCGAAAAATCAATTTTTGTTTGTATTGTCCAAAAATTTAAATCAGCACTGTATAAGTGTAAAATAAATAAATTTTGATTTGAAATTGCAACTTTTGGGTTTTTCAGAAGTAATGAACCCAGATAGGGCGAATTAGTGGATAAAATTTTTCTGATGACTTGCACAAATCTTTTTCTTTCTTTGATACTCTAACAATCTTTTAACTTTTGCTCTAGTAACCAGTTTCAAGAAATTTTAATGACATCTATATCTTCTTTTAATGCAGTTGTTCAAATACCATTGTTTTTTTGCGCTGAGAGAAAATTGTTTCAGCAGTGTCAATTCGGAGATTTGAGTGTAGCAGAAACTAGAAGTACTGAAATATCAAAAACAGCAAAAAAAAATTGCTTCAAAAATAAAAATTTTTCAGACAAGAAAAAACAAAAAAAAGTTTCAGATCTAAATTAGATCTTTATTAACCCAATTTTCAAGTATCCAGTTGCAATTTTAACATTTTCTTTGGTATTACACTTTTAATTTAGGATTTGACCCTCTGCCGGCCCAAAGCGGGAAGCGCGCGCCAAAAAAAGCAATTTTTTGGTCAACGTTTACCAAAAAGGGCCTAAAACGCTTTTTTTACTTGTTTTTTAACCCCAACCCCCTCCCCGAGAAAATTCTAGTTTTGTACCTGGGTTGTTGGTAATTTAACTTGTTCAGATTTGTTGACCAACATCTATATAGCCATCAGTTTGGAATAAATAATAAAACACTTTTCAAATCTGTGTTGTCTGAACCTGTGGGTTAGTGGTACTCGGCAACAAAAACTAATATTAGCGAATAACATGATTATCTTTTTGATTATTAATTATACGTGATTGTACACCACAATTATACGTGATTGTACACCACAACCACAATCACCATTATACGTGATTGTACACCACAAATAAGCGGATATACACCACAACCTAATTTTCCTCTGCGCCAATGTCGAATATTTAGTTAGGAAGAGTAAGCAATATAGTTACTCTGCGACAATCTGTGTTTCATCAATTTTGACAAAATTTTTTGTTTATTGTTTCCAAAATTTGACCAAAAATCCAATGAAAAAATGCTCTTTTATTGATCAACCACCACAAGAGCAAAAAAAACCAAATCAGAGTGGTCAAAAAAGTATTTAGCAACTATAACTGAAAATCAAATGTTTCTCTGACGAAAAGAGCATGAATTGGAGTGCAATTAGAAAGTTCACCTATTTGCCAGTCAGCGAAGAAGTTAGCTCTGCCATATTAATTATTTTTTCGCGTCGAAAAATTGTTTACAGTTAGCTGATTAGCAAAATAATTTGGTAAATAATCTGCCGAGGTGTCATACCCGAAATTTCCGCCCGAGCTTTAAGCGTTTTTCTGAAGTTATTTTTTTGATGTCAGCCGGATCGGGAAACAGCATTGTTCTTTAACGATCTCACCGGAGTCTTTTTTGTACGCACATGTCCATTGCAACTAATTTGTGCGCAGCGACAAGAAAGGGAGTTCTCTGACAGTGTTCGGTGTTTATAATAAGCACACCCTTCAAAAATCATTTTCTCAGAATTGTTTTAGCAAGTATAATTTCCATCGTTAATTACTGAGGTTCGTTTTCAATGAGTTTCGAGTTTCGTTAAAGCCTAGATAACAGCAGAGCGGCCGCTGCTGTAATCTAGGCTTTTCTAATTATCTGCTATTTTACCTATTGTCATTCGGGTTAGTGGTTAGTTGAAAGCAAAATGTTTTTAATCGGAGATTGTTATTTCAATTAATGGGACTGTTTTTTGAACTATTTTCGGGACTATTATTGCGACTCCTTTGTATGGGGCTGTTTTTATCTTTTAATATGATTTTTGGACTACTATGTACAGGTCTGTTTTACATTGGACTGTTTTGTACAGATACAAGAAAATCAATTATCTCCTATCAAGGCAAAGACTTGATTCTTTGATTGCCTTTGAACGTCAATGGAAAGGCTTTTGCTTGAAAATTTTTTTAAATTGTTCAAAACTGAAACCCAAATTAGAACTCCAAGTTTTCTTTATTGAGTTCCTAGTTACTGGCCAAAATCGTTCAGACTGTATAGGAAACAGGAACCAAGCGCAAGAAACGTTTCACAGAACTGATATCCACGGCAAACACTATTAGTGCGATAAAAAGTGCTCTGCCAATTCAGCTACTGCTAGTTAGTTCATTCTGTTTTGGAATCGTTGTTCTTGGCTTGGGCCATTCTAAATAGTGCAACCCTCACTCTAATAGCTCTTATTTTTCGTTATCGTTTGTTTCCAGGTTTTGCTGGACAGTTGTTTTGATATTTAATGAGAAATCAATTCAGGAATAACTATTATTTACGACATTTATTCTTGTTCAAAACTAAAACTTTTCTATGACAGTTCGGCCTCCGATGATTTTTGTCAGCTCTGAGTGTTTGTGAGAGTATAGCGCAAAAAACAACGCGAAAGTTAACCATAACCGTCCAAAAGTCTCCGTCCATTTAGCCAAAACCTTCTCCACCTCGGTCGCAAAACTCGCGTCGTATCCACCTCTGTCGCAAAGTTTGCGAGGAATTCTTTCTTGGCCGCGCCGTTTCAGCCTCACAAAAATCTCGGATCAATTGAGCAATCTCCCCCCCATTCTCGCGTGGGGGGGAGATAGCTCAATAGGTACTTGAGACATGTTTATAACCACTTGAAAATAGTTTGAATGACCTGAAATCATAAGACATATTTTCCAACGACTGTGGAAAGCCAAAATTTACGATAAAAAAGCTCTAAAGTTTCATTTAGATTGAATAAAGAATCAATAAAACAGGCATAAAAAGCGACTTTTTTCTTTCTTAAAATGACAAAAAGTTTTTGCGTACAATATTAAGGTGCTGCGGAGAACCGTTTTTGCTATTCAGATACAAGGCTAGAGCACCAACCCTGGTAAATGGCTTTCTTCGATGAGGCTATGGTCGCCTAAACAAAATTTCGATTTTTTTTTCAAAATTTTTCTCGATACTCATTTAAGATAAACTTCAGTCGGTCAATTGATTGCGTGCTATAAACACACCATCCATCTACTTGCGTTTGCTGACGTCTTTTTGTAGAGTTTTTTTCATTTTTGCTGGGGGGGGAGATAGCTCAATTGGTCATTACGGGGGGAGATTGCTCAATTGATCCAAAATCTCTCCGTCTCTGACGTAGTCGTGAAATTTGCGCCGTCGGTTGCAAAAGTTTGGATATGACTGAGTCTTGTCGCACCAGTCGCTGAGTTTGTCGCGCCAGATTTGTCGCGAAAGTCTAGACATGAGTCTCCGACCTCGACCCGTGAAAAAAGCATAAATTCTTTCAGTTTTTTAGTGAAAATCATTAAAATCTTTCTCGAGAAAATTCTGGACCCGCTTCCCTTGTCCATTATTTTTTCAGACTGCGTCTAGAAATCAGCTGCAGGTCAATGACCCGTCTCAATGAAAAGAAAATTTTGAATGCGTTGGAGAGCCATTTACTTCGTTTTCAACTGACACGAGACAATGCGTTTGGTGTCAATCTAAAAATAGTTGTCAATTAGTTGAACACAAAAAAAGCTGGGGGCTAAATATAAGGACATCTTTGTTAAAGTACCAACAAATCGTGCTAAACAGTCCAGCTTATGCTCATTAATTTAGCCGAATTGATTTTCGTGATACTTTTTTATTCTCAAAAATCCAATTAAAATCTCGTGTTCCTTGTTCACGTTTTTTATACACTTTAAAATATACTAGGAACTGAATAGATTTTTTTGTCACGTGGTTGCTTTTTTGCAGCAAAAAGATCAATTTGATGTTCTTTAATTGCTCTTAGTATGAAAACAGGGAAGAGAAAGCTAAATTTACATCAAGTTTTTATTATACATCCTTGAATAGTTAGAACGAAAACTTCAGGAAATATATACAAACTACACAGCAAATATGTAATTTGAATCACTAATTTCTAAATAACAATTTGATTAACATGAAAAATCAACTTTCAGCATACATTAATGCGCAAACAAAAACTATCACATTAAAATTTGCCTTATTCAGCATTCAGAAAAAAAATTTCCATTAAGTATAAAAGATAAAACAATTGATTTCCATCATATCAGTTATCTCTGGAAACGGTATTTTAAGACCAACAAAACAAAATCGAATTCAAAAACAACAAACATTAATTAAGGGTTTTTTACTTCCTCCATTCATAGAAGAAAAAATATATCTGCAAAACTAAAAGATAGCAAATGAATTAGTCACTATTTTGGGAAAACAATAAGATAGAGATTTTGAAAAAAAAAACACATTAAAATTTTTCAACAATGGGTGAAGCGTAAAATGTATATTTTACAATAATTCTGCAATTCCGTTATTCCAAAATAAAGTTAAGGCCAATTATTGTCAATATACTTGAACATCGATAAAGATTTACGAAATTGTTTTTTTTTGTCTTTCAATTAGATTTTTGACAGTATTGTTTTGGTCTTAAGCATATTTTAAAATACTGGGAGGTAAATATGAGAAGTGCTTTTAAAAAAAATTTAGTAGACTAGTTATAATTTATGATTAGTTTTTGGCATTAACAAAGTATAGTTTAAGTGAAACTAGCTGAGATGTTTTTATTGCTGTTCAATTGAACCGTAGCTGAGGTGGGACAGTACACAACTCCTTTGTGCGTTCCGATAGCCGATGGTGTCGCGAGCGACCGCGCAGTTGGTGAGTTTCCGCCGCTGATTCCAGTGCTCGAGGACAGCGTAGAAGCTCGGAGTCTTCCAAAGTTGCCGACCGGGCCATGCGGATGGAGTCTGGAACTGCGATGGTGGTTTGAGTGAGAAACGGCCAGGACTGATCTATTGTTCACAGCTTGATGTCTGTTTATTGCCTTCGATCGCCCAATCAGGTTTCGAAGCCCCACTTGAAAGCTAAAGCAAAACAAGACTGCTCGTATCAGGGCGAAGCCCTGAATGTTCCGACTCTCTTTTAAAGTCTATGGAGCAGAAATAACATGAAAATTTTAAATGTTATAAAATTGAATCATTTTTTTAAATTTGAGATTTTTTTGTGAAAACATCCCCCCACACGCCATATTAAGTAACAAAGTGATAGATTTTGCTCAATTTAACAAAAAATTTGGCATATAAGCTTCCTTGAACCAATTTGGAACAATTTCTAAGATGGATTAAATCTCCGTTTACGCGTTAATAGCGCGAAATACATCGCGCGTTAATTGTCCCAAATTAGCCAAAATGCCAACCTTTAAACCCCCATAACCTTACAAAAAATGATCACAGGTGAAATATCTTTTCAAATTTAAGCTAAGGAAAACACTAGCTTTCAAAGGATGTACAAATGGCTAGTCTGAAGAAAAAATCCCACCCGAGTTTAAATATTCCGTTACTTTCGTTACAAAAATCGGAACAAAAAACAAGACTGCTCACATCAAGATAAAGTTCCTACTGTCCCTTAAAGTCTGTAGAATAAGTAATCTTTTTAGGAAACTTAAAAACTAAAAAATATATCAAACATTTATTTTAAAAAAGCCAAATAGTTATTTGAAAAAAATTGGAATTTTTTTAGACGGATGGAAAAACCGTTTACGCTTTGAAAGAACAATTAATATTGCAATTTAATTGTTCAAAACTAGCTAACATGGCCTTTTTCAAACCATCATAACTTGACTAATAATCATCACAGGGGAAATACCTTTTTATATTTGAGCTCAAGATGTCAATGATTTTCAGATGGTTTGAAAATCTTTATTCAAAAATAGCTAATTCAAATTTAAACCACACAGAGCGCAAAAATTCTATGCTATCCGAAAGCCGGATTAAAAAAATGATTTCGCTAAAATATTTGTAACAAAATAACGAGGTGTATTGAACAGCGAATAAAAAGAATCCAACCTGTAATGTTTTTAAAGAAAATCTATAAAAGTTTTTCCACAAATTTACGGGGTATTTGTACTTCAGGGTGTTTTTTTTTCTCCAGTGGGAAGTGCATTTTTTAAACTATCAATTTCGACGGACTTTTCAAAAGTTATTGTTAATTCTTCCCCTTTGTGCCCAGTAAAGGGTTTTCACCCCTATAAAAAGTATTTCAGCGATGAGGCGTAAGTAAAGGTTGTACTTTGTAAGCAAATCTTCTAGTATAAAATAAAAAGTTTTGAAATTTTCATAAACTTAAACATTCGAACTTATAAAAATTTTCACTTTTTTATTATACAAATAAATTGTTCAAGGGGTAAAAAATGGATATTTCATCCTATTATTAGACTTTAATGGTACAAAATAATAGGACGAAAAACCATTCAGTTTGGGATACATAAGAATTGAAGCACAATATATAATATTCTTTCAAAACTTAAGCGGAAAGGAAACTATGTGCCGCTCACGCTAAATAGAAAGAAATAAACAGCGGTCTACTAATTATCTCAATTTGATCTATATTGGTCAAAGTTGTCCCAAATTCAGTCCGTAAAAATTTAGAACAAGTAATTGCATGTAAATTTCCTTTTTGAGTTTGAGCATGTAACATCACCGCAAACGGTTTTTAAAATTTTGCTAAAATGGCTGGTTAGAAACTTGAAATTTGTCAAGAGAAAAAAACAACACCCCATCCACAAATATTCCAAGCTAAACAATTTTTTGTTATCCCAAATTAAATAGAGGCAAGTGGGCTGCTCCTGTTAATAGGTAGCCAGACGCACACATTATCATTCTAAATTAGCATGTGACGGTATAAAATTGAAGTTGAAAAAAAATAGCAACAGTACATAGTAACAAATTTGGAAAAAGTCATGAACACAAAGAGATCAAAAAAGTTTTTTTGAAAAAACTTCATTTTCGAATTTTTAAGAAAAAAACAAATGACCTGAAAGACCTTTGAGTTTCTAGAAAAATTTATGATTGAAGTTTTTTGATAAAGTTAGTCCAAATTGAGAAATTTGGATCAATAGAAAAACTTTATTCTTGTGGCAAATATGAAAATTAATTTCCACTTTCGAAACTAAAAGTCAATCACGGTTTCCGTGACCTATACTTTTTTCCTTTTCAATAGTAGAGTTTGCCTTTCTGTCAACAAAAAAATGATACATTTAAAAAAATCGAAAATCAAACCGCGGAAAATCAAATTTTAGCGTGAACAAAATGTAACACTTTTTTTCTGAAATAAAAACGATCAAAAAAATCTCTTATACATAAACGAGTGTTCACTTACATACATGGCCTTTTTTGTTTTATATTTGCTTTATTGCCATTTCTTTAGTTTTTCCCAATTTTATCAACCAGAAACCATTTCATCGACGATAAAAGGCAAAGGCGCTCAGGGCTTTGACTTGATGTCTGATACAAGCAGTCTTTTTTCATTTCACCTCAAGTTTTTCTTCATTTCAACGATAAGATTTTCGACTGATTGGTACAAAATGAGAATGCAAATAAGAAATCTGAGCTAAGTTTAAACCAAGTTAAAAGTAAATTGAACCATATTTATTGCTTCAAATTGAGCAGTACAAAATGTCCCTTGTTGGCTGATAAAAGCAGTGGAAATCTCTGATTTAATTAATTTTCACACCTTTCTTGAAAAGCTGATGAATATTTAATTTCCCTGAGGTGAAGAAACGAATGGAAGTAACTTTGCAGTACATCAAAGTAAATCATGACGTTTCTTATCTGATTTCGCCGAAAGCTTTTTTCTAATTTTAAGCGAAATTTTTACCATCTAAAGTTCATTTTGGAGTCATTTAACCTTTTTTGTTAAATAGTTTTTTGTGTCTAAGCGTATCAATTTTCTACACTCTAGTTTTTTTCTACCGAATAAGGAAAAATAGGAGAAGATAAGTGCCTTGAGTTGTACAAATTCGATTCAGAAAAAATTTTTGACTTTTGCTCACTTTCATTATGATACTCACCAGCGGATATAAGGGAGGGGGGATGGGGGAATCAGGAACTTGACCCCCTGCCGACCCAAAGGGTCCCCCTTTTGTACTATTTTCAGATATCCATTTTTGGTGACGGACCCTAAAATTTTTCTTAAGGCACCTTGGGCGCCAATATCTTAACTTTAAGGGGGAGCGCACGCCAAAAAAAGCGCGATTTTTGGTCAAAATTTTCCAAAAAGTGCCCAAAAATGGCGCAGAAAATTTGGTCAAAATGGGGTCTTTACAGTAATTTAGGAGTGCTCAGCAAATCAATTTGGTCGACTTAAAAAAAGTTCGACAAAGTTTTCGAACAAAATTTTTGAAAATCCGCCCCACCCCTCGAGAAAATCCTAAATCCGCTCTTGATGAAGATCTAATGAGATAAAACTGGAGATTCGCCAACATATGTGGTCGGCATGGTATTGATAAGAAAATCATCCCGTTTCACTTGAAGTTAAACAACTGTTTATTTATTCTCAAAGTTCCTAGAAAAATCAGACGAAATTTAAATAAAAAATTAATCAATTTATTTATCCCAATGCGTTTATTTTCCCAGCAGAATTGTTTCCCGCAAGCGATTTTTTTTTAGATTTGGTTGATTCTTAGCACTAATATAACTTCATACTAGCTCTAAATATAAACAAAGAGACAAATTAAGAAGCTCTTAAGGAAGTTGTCTAAAATTTAGTTGATTTTTTTTTCAATTTGTTTGCTACAGGAAATACAATTTAAGATGTGAGTAAGCTTTCAAAAATATTTCTGTATTGCATCATCTATTTAAACTAGCATAAATAATTCCAGTCTCAGTTAGATCTACTAAATATAGTTTTACAACAGTTTTTTGTTCCGACTTTCGAAGAAACCGGAATATTTATGCTCGGTGAGGTTTTTTTTAATCAGTCAGTTTTCACCGATTGAAATAATAATTTCCAATCAAAAATTTTTATACCTAATTGAAGATATCAACTCCTGGAGTTCAAATGTAAAAAGAAATTTCATCTCCGACCATTTTTTGTCATGTTCTGGGGGTTTGAAAATTGCCAAATTTGCCATGTTTTGGACTAAATTATGCGCGCTTTGAAGAGTTTATTCATAACACTGAGAGCGTAACGCGAATTATTTATGCATGGCGAATTATCCCGCACAAAAAAATGTCCAAATTGAATTGAGACCAGCTAATTGGTTGTAATACTTTCGCGCTAAATTTTACATTTTACCTTAGGTTTTCAACATTTTCTTTTCCCAAAAACTATTCGATATGAATGAAGGGACAGTCGGAACAATCAGGGCTATGCCCAGATATATGAGCAGTTTTGTTTCCTTCATTTTTTGTTTTTCATTATTGTATAACAACTACTATAAATCTAAAAGCGTGGGAAGCAGTAAGAACTAAAGTAGAAAACTAACAGATACAAAAATTGCAACTTTTGAATACAATTAATTAAAACAAAGAGTGATCTTCACTCTAAGTTCATCTAAAAAGGCAAAAACTTCAAACCGGATTCGCTCACTTATGTATTATTGTTCGGAAAATCTAATATCGATCGAATTATTGCTGTAAAGGCGTTACACGGTCAATTGATCTACCCTTTTTGACACTTATCAATGGTTTTATGAATTTTTGTAGAAAAAAACAGCTAAAATCAAACATGCTCCAAATTTTCAATGGTAGAAACAACAACGATCTTCTTAACAATTACCCTGCCTTTGTTATCTACTTAAAAATTGCCAACCCTATTACTTAAACCAGTAAATATCACTAGAGCTTTTTAATTAAAATTCGAAGTTTGCTGCAATCTGATTGGTCAAAAACGCGTTATTTTAATCATCTTAACAAATGCCCCAAATTAAAAACCCAAAGTAAAATAACCAAACCCAAAGTAAAAATAAACAAACCCAAAGTAAAATTAGCCAAGTCGTCGAGTAGTGTAAAAATTGGAAAAAACTATTTGCTTCAGTTCAATTTAAAAGATTTTTAAAGCTAGTTTTTTTTCGATGTCCAAGCTACGTGTAAACAAAAAATAGTAATTTCGCAATTATGAATTGCTCCCAGTATGCTAAAGGCCACATTAGCATACTTGAAAAACCCTTGACCTAGCAAAAATTAACCGCAAACATATATCTGCTTGGTTTTAAGCTCAGTGTAATCATGTTTTCTCTGAATGGTCAAATAAAAATTAGGAAAAATTCGTACAATTTGTCCCTAGAAAGAAAACAGCACAAGCCTAAATAATCCGTCGGGTTAAATATACCTAAAAAAGACTGCTCTTATGTCAGGGCAAAGCTCTGAACGATCCGACTGTCATCTATTGTGGATCACAAGCTTTTGAGTGAGAAAATCTTATTAAATGTTCAAAAAAAGACAAAACCGTGATGAATTTTTTGTTTTGTTTTATTTTCCCCCCACTAGCTATTTAAAGAACCAAATGATATAATATTTTGCTTTTTCTAACCTACCAATGAGATCAAATTGCATGCCACAACTCAATTTTGAAGGGCTTAATTTGCCGCTTTGGTTTCAATAGAACGAAGTATATTCCGTGTTAATTATCCCATTTTGAATTGTAGTCGTCAAAGTAGTCCCAAGTTTAAGCTATCATAATTTTGTGAAGAATGATCACAGGTGTAATATTACTTTACATTTGAGCTCCAGACAACAATGTCTTTCAGATGGTATAAAAAATTCAGTCAAAGATGCTTTTTGAAAAGTCAAAATATGAGTGAATAAAAAACGAACCAAAAAGCAATATTCTGCATTTCTCGAAAGTCGAAGAAAAAAATAGCACACGTTAAAACTTGAATTAGTTAAGTTCAAATATCGGAAATTTTTTTTATATCTTTGGTGCTATAAATTTTCTGCCAATCATATTGATCTAATATTTGTCGATTTTTTTTACTAATTATGATAAAGAGATAAAAAAATTTGTCCATCCAATTGACAAACTTTGTCATGCTCAGAATGAAGCATCTGGTTGAGAAAATTATGCAAAGATAACTAGCTGGATGAAAAAATCATCATTTTGAGGAAGTGCTCTGTCATACAAAATTCTAAGTTTATTCTTCTACGGCTATTTTTTGCGTTTTTGTATCAGAATCAGAATTAATAGTTTTCTTATATTCAGAAGGTAAATTTTTTGTCAGTTTGAGCGTTTTTCCTGAAATCGGCATGTTAAAGTTTTATAATTTTTTGCAAGAATTATCACTGCTGCTTTTTTATATCTGCTTGTAATAATTTTTGAAGGGCAAAATCGAGATTATAAAACATAACAGTGTTTTTAAGATAAACAAAATTTGTTCACGAGCAGAGCAAATTAAGTACTTTTAATCCTGTTTCTTTGCACCTAATTTTATACAAGTAGACATATTTAGATATACAAAAGTCTTTTATTTTTTCAATTAGAAAATTTCACTGAAGAAAAATTGCCAAAAAAAGACAGACTTGTTAATAATAGTTGCTTACTTAAACTAATAAAATGAAATGACCCTTTATATGGGAGGGATGAATAACGTTAATACTGCTTATGCAAGGCTAAAATGGGCCTTAACTGTTACTTTTTCTCATAAAAAGAGAAGAACTGAAATGTTTAGGGTTTAAAAAAAGAAAACCTATTCAATATATTATTGACCGCTTCAATGCATCATTCAGAAGCCGATTGATGAAAACATCGCAACAAAATTATTCAAAGCGTGGCCATTGTACTCGGCTTTTTCGTTCACACCCAGATCTTTTAAGTCACCCCACTATAATAATGAAAAAATTGGTAGCTAGCACATGCTAAGCAGCTGAAATCGGTCTATCGGGCAAAATGGTATTGTTTTTTGGTCATCAGAAATATTTACATTTAGTTAGGGGCAGAATTATGGGGGGGGGAGGGTAGAGATTTGATCTCTTCGTCACCCAGTCAGCCGAAATTGAATGTCATGAAATAGTAACACGGGGGACTTTGGCACTATTTTACGAAATCCATTCTCGGCCGATTGACACTAAATTTTCTTTAAAGACATCTTTGGCTAACTTTTTTTGAGGGAGAGCGCCCGCCGAAAAAACTGTTTTTGGTCAAAACTTTTAAAAGACGGCCCAAAAGGGGCTTTTTAGGCCTATTTTTTCAAAATCATATGAAAAGTTTTTGAAGCAAATAGTTTTTCTGAAGTAAGAAGAAATACCATTTCAACCGTGCATTGCAATTAATTGATGAGCAAACGCTAAAATTGCGAAAAAAGACAAACAAACAAAAACAAATTGTTCACTTGCTCGGATGAAAACTAGAGAATGCAAAATAATGAATTTTGACTTAGGACTAGCAATAAGTGACATCGCACTTACTCCAAATTCCGGTGTTCCCAACTTAGCTAGAAAAATGGCTCTCAACGACAGGAATGACTAATGGAAATTTAAGAAAATCAAAAAGCGGCTCAAAATGCGAAAATAGCATTTATTTACCGCATCCGTGAACCGTGAAAAACCGTGAAAAAAAAACAATAAAACATGCTTTTTAATATAAAAACGCTCTGTAATCAATTTTTTCAAAAAAAAAACGTTTTTTCACCAGCCCTGTTTGCCATAAAAAAGTTCATTACATCATGACAACAAGTGTTTCAAAACTGAAAACCAAAGGTGGGGAGGGGGTGAAAAGGAAAAAGAGTTTACCTGTTGCTCATGCCGTAGAAGATGGCGCCGTCGGTGACAGAGGAGAGGTTTCGGAACGCCTTCAGGGCCCTGTAGAGGGGGGATATGATCGGGTCTCCGGAAAAGTAGATCGTCACCTGCAATCCAACACAAACAAAAGTATAAAAAAAGTGACTCTTTTCCAATTTCTGACTCCCTATCCATCTCGTAAAAGTACGAAATAAAGTTCTTTAAAAATAGTTCATACCGCAATTTGAATGTTAGAAATGCTCTAAAAATTTGTTCACTTGTTCACGCTGCCACGTTTTATCGCAGTTAGAATTTCAATAGTCATTTTAAATATGCTTTCGTAAATCCAAAAATTAAAGGAAGAACTGGAAAAGAGCCAAAAACATGGTCAATTTCAAAAACAAATTCATGTCAAATAAGAGGTCATTTTAAAAAATAAAAATAATAAATTCAGGTCAGACCAAAGGTGGATATAGGAGTGGTTTTGCAAGGTTAAGATCGAATTTTTTTTGTAAAAAGGGTTTTTGAAGAAACAGGCCAAAAAATCCATTTGACGCACTTTTAAAAAAAGTGTTTTTTTTTAGTGCACGCCCCCTCTCCCTCCCTCAAAATTAGTATATATTGTCGCCGAGTAATTTTAGGCTGGGTCGACCAAAACGAAAACGGGACCGTTCGGATAATGAGGGTGTCAAATCCGTGAAAGAAAGAATGGCTTTTGCCCCATCACCTCCCCCCTCCCCCATAAATTTGGGGGGTGGGAAGTAGTTTTGGTATTTCCAAATTTTCCCAAAGGCCAAATTTTTTGGTACCATTTTACGACATCACTATTTGGAATAAAAGATGCTACTCATACGGTTATGGTAAAGTGAAGTTGATGATAGCGATGCAGAACCTTTTCCAAAATAAATTTCTAATTCGCTTCAAAATTGTTCATTTTTTGTTAAAGTGCAAAATTACCTTGTTTGCAAATCAAATTCCTTTTACATTTGAATACCTCTACTTTAATGAGCCAGTAATGACGAGTGAATGGGAGTGTGTGCAGGGGGGTTCTAGTGTAGTTGGGGGTTCTGGTGTAGTGGGGGGGGGGTTGGTGTAGGGGGGGGGGGGGTGGGGGTAGTCTTACCTGGTAGAGGAAGAAGGGGAGGAATGAGATGTAGTAGAGGAGTGTGATGAGGATGAGACTTTTGCAGATGGCGATCTGCTGCCAGTGACTCACTTCCTGCTCCTGCTTAGACACTGCAACAAACAAACGAACAAACAAATTAAAAACATCCAAAAACACAGCAGCAGAATTCTGTTTGTTATACAGTATTTAAAACATAGCCAACAGACAGTTGGAAAAGAGTCAATGAACTTAAGTAGACAGAAAAAATATTCTGACTTGTTTTTTGAAGAATCAGCTACCACAAATAATCATCATGTGATATGTCATGTCATATTAACGCCTTTTAATTGGAACGACATCAAAAAAGGTTTCAAAAATTTGTCCCAGTATCGAAAAAAAAACAGTTCTGAAACTTTGATTTTTAGTCTGAAGTCGAGCAAATGAAGCAAGCGAGCAAGATTATAAAAGCCTATTTATGCCTAGATTAGAACATAAAACTTAAATTTAATCGAGTAAAATTAGTTTTTGGAGCTTTTTTGCGCCATTTGACAAAAAAAGTTTTTTTAAGGTTTTTTTAATAATTTTTTCTAATCGTTTTAAACAAATTTTTTTACAATCTGCCTAATTCATTATAGCAGTCAACTATGCCTAATTTTTGGTTTTTATCACACCACGCAAAAAAAAACGACACTATTTATCAAACTTTCTTTGTAATTTTTTTTAGACGATGGTCAGAACTTTCTGTGCTACTTCTTACTACCTTTAGTTCTTTTTATTTTATTTTTCTGTACATTATAAATCACTTTGTCCAATAAATCTTTTGCCGGATTAACTTTTAAAATAATATTGATGTATAAAAACATGTTTCCCATGAGATTTTAATTTACAATTTAAATACAAAAACAAGATTTTACATCAAGTACTATTTTCTTCTAAAGCCATGGGCCAGAATTCGTTTTCCTATTAAAATTATGCTTCGCTACGCTGCCAAAATTTTATTCCTGGTTTTTTTGTTTTTTTTCAACACTCAACATTTTGAAGTTTAATCGGACATTTGGATTGAGTTTATAATTTAGAAAACGATCTCAGTTCTTTTGAAAATTTCTTAATGGACGTGTTTAATGTGTTGAGCCATATATTATTTTTATATAATAAAAAACGCAAGCAAAATGAGAAAAATTCGGATTTACACGCGAATGATTTTTTAATTGCGACTTGGTTTTAAAGTATTTCAAAAGATCTTAAGGCTGCAAAAGCTTGAAATTTTTCTTTTGTTCAGGCAGCGTTTGATTTCATGGCGTCAAAATTATCATGATTTATTTTAGCTAATTAAGCATATGGGAAACAACTCTTAATCTTCGAAAAATTCGATAACTCGAGAGTTTGATTTTTAAACACAATAACAGAGAATTGGAGATATTAAAAAGATGCATTTTTTGGGAGGGCGTGGGGAAAGGAAAATTTGAGTGACAAAATTAAAATTGCTTTGACGCCAGTTAAAAAATTATCATCACCCTTTTGTCAAGAGTTTGATAGAAGAACGGAAGTTAATTTTCAGCATTTGCTTAAGTTGATTCATATACTTGCACAGGATGTGCAAAGTTCTAAATAGTCTTACAAAAGCTGCAAGCTTACCTTCCGTTCTCGTATCACAAACTTGAAAAAAAAATGATAAGAAGTGTTCTCATGGCGTCAAAACAGTTTTGTTTCATTCAAAGCGCTGTTTCCCACAAAAAAATACTTGAAAGCTTTTGTCTTATTAACAAATTTTTTCCGTATCAAATTTCTTTTAGTCAATTCTGGTTCTGAGCACGCAATTTTTTCTCATTTTTGTCATGTGATGTTGAGTTTATTTCAATGGCATCAAATGTAACATCATAATTTTTTTTTTCTGATTAGGCAAGTGGGAAAAATTTAATTTTTGAAGTTTTTCTTATTTTCAAGAGTTTCATTTCGAAAAAAAATACAGAGAATTTAAGATACCGAAGACACATACTGTGCAAATCTTGAAACAAAATAAAAATTTGAATTGAGGACGACCAATTAGTTTATAATTTTTGTTCTAAAGCAAAAAGTATGAGAAATTGGAAAGCTTCAAAAGAATTGGATTTTATCCCGCGACAATTGTGTTAAACATTTTTAAACTCATCTTTAATTCAATTTTGTTTGTTGTTAATTTGCCATAATTTTCCGTTTTTATCAAGTCAATAAAGAGAACATTTTTTATGTATCATCTCACCGAAATAACAACCACGAAAATGTAAAAAAAATCAAGGGGGAGTATTGAAAAAAGGATAATAAAAAGCAAAGAAGAGATAAAAAATGTCGTATAATTTGTTTAACTACACTCGTTCAAAAGATGCAAGCAAGAAAGAAAAAAGGCATATTTCCATGCAAATGTTTTTTTTAACTAGAAAGAGATTCTAAAAGAATCCGAAAAGGAACAAGTCTTAACACAAGGCTTGAAATCGTTTTTGATGAGGGCTCGTTTGATTAGAAAACGTCGGAGTTTTGTCAATTTACTTATGTAAAATGTATAATTGAATTGAAGACGACCAATTAGTTTATATATTTTGTTTTCAGCCAAAAATTATGAGAATTTGGATACCTGAAAAAAACTGGATTTTTTCCTGCGATATTTGTATTAAAAGCCATATTTCCATGCGAATGTTTTTTTAAACTAGGAAACGATCCTAAAAACATCCGAAAAGGAACAGGTGTTAACGCTAAATTTAAAATAGTTTTTGATGAGGGCCTGTGTTTGATTATAAAACGCGGAATTATTATCGTATATTTTATAAAATTAAGCAAATGAAAACGTCTTTTTGTCTCTAAAATTTTGATTTTTGGAATCGAAGATATCGAAGAAAACAAAAAGTCTCAACCCTACAAAAGCTTGAAAACTTTTTAAGTTCAGGGTGCGTTTGATTATTTAGCGTTTAGCGTCAGATTTATTTTCCTATTTTAGAACGTGGCAAATGACTCGCAATCTTTCAGGTTTTCGATGTTTTGATAGTCTAGTTTGAAAAAAAAGCTGTGAACCGGAATTGAAGATACTGAAGAAAAAAATTGTCTTAACGCTACAAAAGCATGAAATCAAATTTTGTTCAGCACGCGTTTGATAATCTGGCGCCAGATTTATCATCATGTTTTTTTGCTTTTTAAGCAAGTGCGAAACGCGAAACAAGTCTTTATCTCGGAAGTGTTCGATAACTCGAGAAGTGTTCGAAATTGAGAATTGAAGATACTGACGAAATCAAGGTCATAACGCTACAAAAGTTTGAAACCAGTTTTTATTTTTTGTGGAGGGTACATTTGATTATATGGCGTCAGAATTATTATCATATGTTTTTTGCTAATTAAGCAAGTTGGAAAAATTTAATCTCCTAAGTGTTCGACTATTCGAGTGTTTGATTGTTTACAATTATGTTGATCGTCTGAAAAAGAGTGCTTGCAACTAAAAATTAATCTCCGCCCCGAAACAATTAATAAGGAGTTTGTTCACGTGGTCCGACCACACTTGAATTGTATTAAAACGTGTGTTCAAATTTAGTTAATCACAATTTTTTTTATGATATATTGTTTTAGTCATTTCGTGAAAACTTTTTTCAAGTAAAGCAAAAAAAAACGATAAAATTGTTTTCAGTATCAGAATGCCGAAAAAAGTTTCTGCGCAAAATTGAAGAATTGCTTTTAGCCCCCCCCCCCCCCCCCCCCCCGCCTATTCTCTCGTCGCTCACTATCTCATTTCCGAGTGAAAAAAAAAACAAAAATGATGCATAAAAAGCCGACTTGTATCTTTCTTAAATTTGAACGGGTGGACTCGTTACAAGGTGCAAAGTTCACGGGTGGACTCGTTACAAGGTGCAAAGTTCATACCTAATCCTCGCAACAGAAACTGGGGGGGATTTGATACTAAATGCAAAGTTCATATATGCTCAAACATTCAATTATTTCATGGTGTGTGTGTATGGGGGGGGAGGTGTGGTATTTTTATTAGTCATCATAGAAAGTACAAAAAAGCATCAATTTACCATACTTAGTTCAACTTTTCTTATAATGTTTTTTTTTCCGATAATTAATTTACCGGACAGTTTGTATGATGTTTGAGTTGTTCTAAGTGAACCTAGTTTTTTCTAAAAGTATTTCAAATTGATTTGCAAGGCATATCACCAAAATGTAGAAGAGAACAAAAAGCATTCTGAATTGCAGATAATGGCTTGTTTTTTTTGTTTAAAATGCTAAATTACGTTTTTTTCACTTTGAAAGAACAAATAAGCTTAGTGATCCGATTTTGAAATAAATTAAGCAAATTTGCGTAAAGACCCATTTTCGGCAATTTTTTTTTGCGTAACTGTATTAACAATTATAAATAAAACAATGAATTAGCACTAGAGCTTTCTATTGGGAATTCGAATTTTGCTGCATTCTGTTCTGCTTGAACGAACTAAAACTACTGAAAAGTCTCCCCTCCCCTTTCTTGAAAGGGGGAGGGTAATTGTTCAGTAAATCCTCGTAATTTTAGCAGGTGGTTAAGCTAATTGGTCAAGTTTTCTCCGAGACTAAAAAGAGTGGATTCATGGGGTGGAATCATTCATCTACGAAGGAACGAATGCGCGAAAATAAAAACCACCCGCATCCAGTTTCAAGCGTTAATAATCAATTATAATATACTTTTAATACCAGTCTCACAAAAATTGAGAAAAAATTGATTTTAATCAATTAATAATTGCTCATAATCTCTTTTTATAATCGATTGATTTTATCCGAATTTCTAATCTATTTGTAATATAAAAATCCATTTTAATCTATCATAATTGTTTATAATCTCTTTTTTGCCCATTTTTTCTTTGACCTTCTTTGACTTCAATTGCTTATATTTTATGCTTTTCGTAGACGTTGGTCTATGTGGAAAATGGGAAAACTGTTTTTTTTTAGTTTGCAAATCAATTCAAATTTCTCACGAGTTTTTTGCCCATTCGGTCCTTCACGGATGAGAATAGCCGCCGATTGGACCAAGTTAAAATCCTCTCTGCAAAAACAGTTTCTGAAATCCGAGTTCAAATTTTCAACCAATCAGAGTAGAGCATCCTAAACGCAGCGCTTAGCGCATTGTTTTAAATTGAACAGT